CAGAATCAGCACTGTGATAGATTCCACAGATAGCAGATTTGTAACATGCACAGAAGGGGAAAATTTTGCCCTTGGTTTGCAAATGACTTTATACATAGGATTGTATAGAGATCATTATTTGCAAACCATTACAGGTCTTCTCTAACCTGTAGTTATGTGGCTGTAAGAGTTATAGCCAAGATTGCAAACTTTTTTTAAGGAGATATGTTCTACTGCCTTTTATTCCTCCTTGATTTTGTATAAAAACAGCCATGGGGCTGAACATAGTCATGTAACCAAAGTTGGAAAGTTTTTAATTTTAAATGTAATGGGAACGAGACCATTTCATAATGGTCTTTTAATTTGGAATATTATTTTTCTGGTTTTATCAGAAAGAATTAATTGATAGGTATTATAGACCCTTGGATATGGCATTTAGATATTGCCAGTTCATAGCATTGTGACACCTCATCATTCATTGCTTGAATCTTAAGGAACAGAGCTAGAGTGCAAATGTAAGCTGATAGAAACATGAATGAATCTTCTCTGTCTGTGTAGCACCATGTAATTCCTGAACTCACTGTGTCATCTTAGAGGGGTTTTGTGCTAGCACTGAAGGTGCATTTATTTCTGGCTTTGCTATAGAGTAGGTTTGTGCATTGTCCTTCGCATGTTGTACTCATCTCTTTCCCTCTTACTTAATGAGTGTCTGTATCATTGTATAGCTCATTGTTTCTTACCTCTGCTCTTTTAATCTTTTTTGGACTTTTTTTTGCTAGCATACAAAAATGTGTATTTCCATAGTGTCAGCAGAAGTGTTGTATTTCAGAGTTCAGGGCTTGAGGGATAATCTCCTTCTGAATGCAATTATTCCAGTATAGAATTTTTAATCCTCTATATACTTGGTGTAAGATAATGGTTAGCGTATTATCTCATTACATTATTTCTGTAATTATTAAGTAAAGAAGCTGCAGTGTTACTGTGGTGACTTTTTATATCCTATTAGTGTTGAAGGCAACTGAATCTAATTCCAGTAGTAGCAATTCCTACCTTTCTCAATGTTACCATATTATCCTTGGTAAAGATGGCATATCTAATCTCTAGACAGTGGAAGTATTGGTAATTAAAGGCAATTAAAGGGAAACCAATCACGTGGATGTTTTGAAAATAGCCAATTTCTCTCACACGTGAACTCACTGTCCTGGACAACACTGTGCACTCCTTTGTGCTGGCCCAGCCTGTATACATCTGCTAATGCACTGCTGTGTGACAGTGAGGACAGGAGTCATCACATTTCTTCCTTCTTGTAGTGGATGGTAAACAAAACAATCATTTCGTATTTCCACCTTGCTGGTTTTTGTCGGGCTGTGTCTCTTTAAAGGAAATTCCTACAGTCAATGATCTTTTGGCTGTTGGATGTTTTTCTTCAAGTTCACTTGGTTTGATCGCATTTAGAAAGAAAACTTGGCTTAATAGTTTCCCATTTTTAATATGGTTGATTTGTTTAATAAAGGTATCAGAAAAGCAGTTTTACAAACTAAGTTATGACTTCTGTTTAGAAGTGCATTAATAGGGAATGATTTTCTTTAGGACTGCTAGGTGAGCCAAGAGCAAAGGGAGGTGCTTTGTGTTACAGTAAATAGCACTGTGGCTGAACTTACTGAAGAAAAGCTGTTGTAGACAATTTGTAGGAAAAGAGGCCATAGAAGAAAAACTAAGGAATATGCTGAGGAGGGAAAATGTAGTAAGAGGAGAATGAGTAAAATTTAAGATAAATAAGGAGAAAATAATCACACACCTTCCTATGTTTTATCTAATGGTAGGCTTTTTGCTCCCCACTTACTTCTGTCTATCACTTTAGTGCTAATCAGTACAAAACAGCAGTTATTTGAACTTTTTCCTGCCACACAAATGATAACTTTCCATGTAATTTTGTTTCATTCTATAAAGAGCTTTTCTTTGAAAATCAATGACCTAAACATCTCATTTTTTAGGCCCAAATTCCTCAGAGAAGATATGCTCAAAGTTCTTTGATCCTAGGAATTCTCAAAAGACTGGAAAGTCACATTCTGTCTCAGTGGTACAAACAAAAACATAGTAGTAGCACAGGCAATTAATAGCATCTTTTACTCATTTGTAATTAACATAACATGAGTAAACACACACACACACACACACACACACACACACACGTGTGTGTATGTAAAAGTATATGTAAATTTTGTGTTGTTAAGTGTTACACAGTCTGACACACACAAACTTTGAGTGGCTGTCTAGAGGTTGTCTTCATATTTATAATTTCATGTACAGGTTTATAGTTTCTTTTCATGTATAGGTTGCATATGAGCTAGTTTTGAGGAAGCCAAAAGAAAAAAGCACATGGATATGTAAAAAACTGGAGTAAGGACCATGCTGTGGCAGCTCATTAATGATTCAGAATGGTTGGTTTCAGTTTTCCCTCCTTCCTTTCACAAGGCAAAATCCAATCAATAGTTTTCTTTCAAGGTCAGAACTGCTGCTTAATGTCTGTCCTTCTCACAATCCTTGTCCAGTCATAGGAGTGTTTTGAAAGATTTAATTACTATTTTATTAGAGATTGTCATCAATAACTCTTAGCATAGTTGGACTTGGACAGAAAGTCACATAATTACTGGGGAGGGATCTGCTCTGATCCAACTACAAGGGTGCTGCTTTTGTAAACAGCGGCATGTCAGGCATGAAAGGGGCTTTTCCACTGCCATCCTATCGCCAGTAATATTGTGGTTTCATTATGGACAGGAAAGCTGTTAAGCAGTGTTATATATCAATTATTTAATTTTGCAAGATTTGTAAAATAGAGTTGAGTTTGAGAAAACTTTCTGTCTTTGCAAGGGAAAGGTTGTTTCCATTGCATGGGCAATGATGCTTCTTAATGTGTTTTGGTAGTTTGTTTTCCAGAGCTGCAAGTGAAATATGTATTTTTAAAAATATTAATATGGTTTTTTTCTGCCTTTTTTCTTAGATTTTTGATACATTTTTTTTTCTTTTTTTTAGAATTAAGTTCAGTGTAGGCTAAGTAAACATGTTACAGGCTCATTAACTAACCTTATTTCCTGAAGTTATATTTTAAATCCTAAGGGGAGTATCAGATCCAGTATTTTAATTGCAGCAAAGGAAACAATGCTCCTTTAATGACAGTGGAAATATTTGTTCCTTTCCTGATTTGAGAAATATCATAAACAGTCAGAAATACAGAAAAAATATTTTAATATCTTTTGTTTAGAATCCTGTTAGAGTACTTTTTTGGCCAAGCATTTTCTTTCTGAATAAGCTGCCAAAACAGAGTTTTGATGCTTTGTCAAAAAGCAAGCAAGGCTGTGTATCGTTCCTTAAATGCTTCAGTTTTCACAAAGACATCATACTGCTTTACAGTGTCTGCTTTTTGAAAATTAAATTCTGTGACTTTAAAGTGATATTTAAGATCTGTTAACTTGAGTAGATGAGCTGAATGTATTTGTAGGAGCTAAAACATTTGGTCTAGTATAATTTTGGTGTTGGCTGAAAAATAATAAATAACATTCAGGCCATCATCTCTGCTTTCTCCTGCCTTTTGGGAAAATCTGGACAAGATAAAGGTCAAAAGTCATGACAGAATTCAGAGTTATCATAATAATTCTAGGAGCAAACTTCTGGAGCTTAGCTTTATTATAGAATATTATGAAATTAGTCATGCTTGTTGAACATGATGGATCCAAATTTGCTGTTGGTCATAATCCTGAATCAGTTGAAGGATATCCACAGTTCACTTTGCTCATTCTACTGATATAATATTTAATATGGCCTAAATCAATTTTTTATATATTCTATTGATTTTATGGTGTTCATAAAATGCTAGTAATAGAAAATCTGTTTCTATTGCTGGTTTTTTTAATGTTAATGTAATTTCCAAGGAAAAAGCTCTTCAGTGACTCATATGAAATATGTTGGAGGGAGTTTGTGTGTACATATATATATAAATGTGCAGTTACACAAATTTTCTAGTGGTATAATTTAAATAGATTATTTAAATTGAGCGTTCCCATTTGGCTGGGATTTGCTTTTATATATTTTTTATTTTTAGATGTTTGTCCCTACATTGAATTAATAACCTATGTCCAGGTCTGTTGGCTACAGATCTGCTGCCTTTGCATGTGAAGTTAATCTTTTTTCATGTTGCAAAGAATACTCAGCACTGAATTTGAGATTCTTCTGCCCACATTTATGTGATCTCAGCCACATGCTGAGGTACCTTGGAGTAGAACACAGGGAGATGTGGATACCTGTTGTTTAGCTGCATGAGTACCTCCTGCCTTCAGCAAGGGAGCTCCAGGGTCTCTGGCACAACAGAGGGGCTCTTGCAGAAGCTTTAGGCAGCACAAGTTGGTTATAGGTTACTTCCAGTACTGGGCGTGGGGAGTAGCACCAGGTGCTGAGCAAGCTGTTTTAATGTTAAGTAGTAAGGGGTTTGCCTCCATGTGATACCCATCAAAAGCAAAAGTCCTGGACAAAATCATAAGCACCAAGTAAAAAAAAAATGCTTCATGCAGTACGACCAAGCCTTGAGTCTGACTTTTGTGCAGACTATTAGTACCACAAGTTTGTCTTTGCGGGCCGAGAATAGACACCAAGAAGAATTTGGCAAGTCACTGAAGGGTATCTCCTTGCTGCTTATCATAAAGCATGATCTTGCAATTTTTAATAAATATTTTTAAGTGATGTGTGCTTCTATAGCTCTAAAACACATGTGCAATTTATGTATGTTAGAACCCAGTCCAAAAAATACCAGTAATGACAGTCTTTCTCGTGTTATAGATGGTTATGGGTGAAAAATGCGAAATGAGAACAATCTAAAAAATATCACAATGGATGTTTTCTCTTCTGAAGTGTAGAAAGAAAAATAAAGCAATTGATGAAGAAATATAAGTTTTAAAATGAGTGGCATTGGCAATTGCAATCCAAACCCTTGACATTAATTGCATTAATGGTAATGCATTCCATTCCAGTTCATGGTGAAGTAAAAGGAGTTGGTCTGGTAGATCAAATATGGCTTTCATTGCAAGACTGCGACAATGAAGGTGAGATAATAAAGGTATTCAGACTAACGTGTAAAGAATGTTATTAAATATACCTGATTAATTATTAGAACAGATGCCACTATAAACTACTACATATGTTTCAGTTATTTTTTCAGGATGTATGTATTCTGTTATGTATATTTGTCTATACATGGATACATACATTTTTGGTTGAAAAAATACACATGCAGTCAAAATTGTGAATAATTAATGATGCATATTATGTTCCCTTATGAATCTAGGAAATTAATGTCAGAGCTTTGAACAGAACTTGAAAGGTATTTTTTTCTGTTGAAATATTTGAAAAATTGGAATGGTCTAAATAACCGTGTGAAAACATAAGTTGCTGTCCTGGTTTGCTCATTGCAAATACACTGTGAAGCAACTGTTACAAATCCATTGGTGTAAGCAAACCTAGCTGTGTATCCAAGGAGATGTTGCAAGTCTTGTGCTTCCACTTAGACTTGTGTGTGGTTTGGGTGGGGTTTTTTAAAAGTTTTTTAACATTTATTCAATCAACATCTTATTTTCCAGTCCAGGCAAGAGTAAAATCACAAAAGCTCTCAAGTACCTTTAATGCATTTTTCTGACAGAATGTCAAAAATTACTTTGTGTTCCATCAATAGTAATTCATGGCAACACGCCTAAATAATTACCATTGGCCAAATGCCAGACTTCTGGGCCCTACACTAACAAATACTGGTACAATAATTTTGAAAATTATAAATTCAGTTGCAATAATAACATGCATCTCACATAACTGACTCACCTCTTCCAATTAACTTCACGTAACCAGAAATAACTTAGTTCTGAATTATCTTTTAAGTGGTCTCTCTGGACAATAGTCACAGCGTGTGGTTTGCACATACTGTATAATTTGACTTGGTTTTGGGGCAATGCACAGCAGTCTTTGAGGTTACCAGTATGCCGTCAAACCAATGGGACTAGGGCATGCTCTCTGGCCCACAGGGAAAGGCATAGATTGTGCCCACAGGTTAAAAAACTCGCTTCTCCCTCATTCCTCAAGTAGGATGGCCCTATAAGTGCTTGAAAAAAATTTTTGACACATGCTCTGCTTTGAAGTGTACTGGAACATTTTATAGGAGAGTGTTGTTTGTCTTGGGTCAAAATAGTAACTTACTTTAATATAGATTAAATAACTGTGGATAAAAAAAAGAAGATACACCCCTGCATATTTTTATTTACTGGTAATATGTGCCCTGAACTTCTTTGTATTTGAAGTCTTTACCTTAGTACATTGACCTGGAATACAGTCTTGCACATACCATTTACACCAGAGAGATTGTGGCTTGTTAACTACTCTTTGGATCTTCTTATATGTATATTCCACATCATCTTATGTGTCTGAATTCACATGATTAGTCAGGTATGAAGGGATCACTCAAGCTATAGTTTGCAGTAGCCTTGCTCCATGTAAGTCTTGAGTTTATTTTTTGGGAGGAGGCTGAGGACTTGGGGATAAGATGTGAACCCTGTCTTATGAAAGAAACAAGGCAGGTGTTAGCACTGTTGCTGGTTCTTTGTGCAGTGGCTGTAGCAGAAGTGAAGGAAATCATCTTGGCCAACACTGGCAGCATCATGGCCAAAGCATTGCCAGGTTCCATGTACTCCTGACCTGCGGCTGTTGCAGGCTGGAACCCATTTAGTTTCTGGAGCCCAAAAGCAGGCCTTCTGTTTCCTGACCAAAGAAGAGTCAGGTGTATTGGTATGCCTACTTATGGATTGAAAAGTCAATTTGACTGTGAAGACTGAGGACTCTGCTTTTCTTAAATGGCACCTTTAGGGGAATTGTCACTAAGGAAAGTATCAATCTCTTTTCTTTCCCATGAAATATTGTTTATTTCAAATGTATTTCAAGCATTTTGTTAACCTTAATACATTTACAAGATTATTCTTTGTGTAGAAAGAGGGAAATTCAGAAGGCTCACCTCAGCAATGCTACAGTGATAATTGAGCAATAGAAATGCTCCTTTCCTAGTTCTGTCTCTACAAAGTTATATGACAGTAATATGCTGGAGAGTGGTTTCACTTGACCTGGTAACAGGACAGGAGTTAGGTTTTCACTTGCTCAGAAAGGAAAAGGATATTTCTATTTCTATTTAAACACCTTGGAAATTTCTGTTCCTAGTGTGTCAGTTGTAGCTGGCACTCTTTGGCAGACAAAGAGTATTCAGACAGAAATTCGAAGTCATATAACATATATGGCATCCTGTGTGCCAGATGTGGATGTAAACCCATGCACTCCACTTGCAGGAATACAGTTTCCTGCAATAAGATAACAGTCTTATTCACTGATTTGCTAATAGCCTGCTCTGGCAGCTATGGCAATAACACATGGTATCTATTATAGATTCATGTCTCATTTATTTGATGTTAAGTAAATATATAATTACATAGTATCACTTAGTAAAATTGTTTACTTTTCTATAAAGTGCCTGGGTCTACAGGTGGGGTTTTTGGCAGTAATATAGGCAGAATTAGCGCATTAAATGTACGTGATTTGTTGCATCAAAAGGGTACTATAAGAGGTAGAATTCATAAATATGAAGAGTGGAAACTTCCCTTATCCCAAGACCACTTTTCTTCTCCTTTTCTTGGTGTATCCTGTGAAGAGTGCTTCTTTGAATGGAGAACCATTTTGTGTCCATGTAAAACTGGGAACAGAGTGAAGCAAACCAAGGTTAGACTGGAGTAAGTGCATGTGGTTTTCACTATGGTCCCAAGTAGATGGGATTTGGAAGATTCAAATTGATTCAATTAGTATTGTTTTGTGTAGTATTTTTCCTTACAAATATTCTTCATCTTCTGCACTGGGAAGGGATTCCAATATACTGTAATATCCATGGAGAAAAAACAGTTTATGGAGCCTTGAAATAGGTGCAGGACCTGAATGCACATTCTTCAAACTGCCTACTAATGTATGCAAAACTTCAAGATGACTTTTCAGGAATGTAAAACTAGGCCTTGAGGTTCAGGAGGAAACATCCTGTGCCTCATCCTTCACCACTCTCAAAGGCCATGTGTTACTGCAGAGGACTATTTTAGCTAAGGTTCAGTGGACAGCAACTTGAAGGTTGTCTCTTTCCTATTCTGTGACATTGGATTTGAGGTAAGAGATAACTAGCGACATTCTCTCACTCTTGTCTTTTTCCCTGGTGAAAGCCATGGGTGACTGGCCACCAACTGAAAGTAACTCTATTCACCAACACTCTGTGGGCCCATCTATCCAGAAGGTTTTTAACCCTGAGAACCATGCACTCATCCAAGCCACGAGCAGCCAGTTTCTCCAGGAAAGTGCTGTGTGGAAGGCTTTTAAACGCTTGACTAAAGTCAGGCAGACAACATCCACAGCCTTTCCCTCATACCCTAAGCGTGTTGCCTTGTCATAGATGTAGACCAGGTTTGTCAATCAGAACCAACATCTCATAACACATGCTGTGTGAGCCTGATCACCTATGGTACCTACATCTTAAGTTTTCAGTCCAGAGAGAATTTGTGGGGTGAAATATTTAAGCCAAGGTTGTATCAAAATGGGGCAGTGATCTCTGGCCCAGACTTAGAAGACTTAGACATGCACAGAAATCATGTAGTTTATCTTCATGTAGCATAATATTAATGGGACTGTCTTGGATTTGGCTCTTGGTTGTTTGCTCTCAGTCCATTATCTTGATCATTGACCACAATCAAGATAATGATGAGATTTTTAAAGGAAAATTGTTAATTGCCATGTGAAAGTCCTTGATTAGTAGTGACTGTAAAGGAAAGCAGTTGAAATTAATGAAGTAAAGAAACCCCATAGTTGTTTTACTAGAGGCACCGAGTGATTGTGAGATGAATGTTTTAAGAATTGCTCAGATTTCACAGACACAAGGTAAAATGTCATAGCAAGGAAGATGGAGAATTGCTCAATAACAGCTGTGAGGACAGTAATTGATAAAAGGTGTTAATATTGTTGTAAGGGAACAGTAAACAAAATAATCCTATTATAAATTAAATATGTGATACAGTTCCATAACTCCTATAGTACTGTAACAAGCACTGTTATTTCCCTGATTTGTATATAAAAGCTCTCTTGCCAGGTCTTATTAAAAGGTCATATATTGAAAATGCCGAATATTTGGAATTACTCAAGATAACTGGATGATAGGGTTGTCTTCAATATTTGGGTAGAGACAGAATGGTTTCAAAATTGAGAGTGATTCTCTTTTTCAAAGGGGCAAGACATAATTTTGCTGTGTCCTTCAAGTGCTCTGATCTTCCTTGTGGCTGTAAACTGACTCTTGTCAAAATTGTAGCTGTGTAGTACCATCTCTGTACTTTACATGCATTCCAATGACTGAATTTAAACACAAATTCTGGGATGTCATAAGGTAAAGGGCTTTCTTTCCTAAGGCCTTTGACTTTTCAAGTACTTGCAAGAAGCTTTGAGAAAGCATCCCTTGATTTATTGATTGATCTCTGAGGAATACAGTGTTTCATGCAAATGCTGTGTAAAATAACCCGCAGATATCCATTTTTTAAAATGTGTATGCAAATAGTAATTGCTACACTCCTTCTTGTGAGTTGGGTTTCCACTAATGCACATATTCTGTGGTTCTGTGGGGAGCTGTTTTTAATGCCGGGTTCTGTTTCAGTTTCTGAGCAGTTGCTTATTCACACTCTCTCTTTTTTCCTTTAACTGTCCCTGAATTAGAAGCTCTGTAAAATATATGTTCTGGCTGTCTCTGAGCAATGGTGGTTTGAGCTTCAGTTCTTAATGTCCTTGACTGACTAATCAATAGAAAGCAAAACAACTGCAGCACAAACAGCAGTACTGTAAATGGAAACTTCTGTTGGATATTGCGCTGAAAGTCATGAGGGTAATGACTGCCATTGAGAAAGATGCAATATTTTTTCCTTCAAGAGTGCAGAGCACAAATGTTTTCTTTTCTGCTGCCTGCTTGGAAAATGAGCATCATATCCAATGCATCATAAAATAAAATCAGAAATAAAATCAGAAATCCAGATCAGACTAAAGAAAAACAGATTAAGGCATTAAATGATCCTTGTTAACAGTGTAGAGGACAGTTAATGCAAAATATTTTTGGTCTCTAAAATGTTGAGTAAAAATGTTCTGTTTTATCATCTCCTATTTCTAACTTCTTTTATACTGAGAACATCTTTATGAGGTTCTATACCTAAGTATGTGTAATTCTGTATTACCTCCATTCTCATTTCATAAACAATTAAATAGTTTGAATACTGGCTGCAATACTGATATTGATGACTACAATATTATTATGCTTATTTGGAAATCTAATACAGGTGGAAGAATCCATGAAATTACAAGCTATGTATCCTTATCTGTGGAGCATAAATTTAGACATTAGAGGAAGAGACAGTTATAGTGGAAGAGAAATCTTTATAAGATACTGTATCTTTTGAAGAAACTTTTTAGCTTTGGGTTACTGTAAATAGCCCTGAGTTTAATATGATTGTGTGCTACCTTCCTGTTCTAAGTAATTGGAGCATATAAGAGGGTCAAACTCTTTATCTTGATGTATAACTTCATGGGTCAGGCTATTTAGTCTCTTCTGGTCCTATTTTTCCCATTTACTAAGTAAATTTGGTTACAGAAAAATTGGATCAGAAAATAGAGACTAATGTTGAATTCAGATACAGAGTTTTCTATGAATTCCTGGCCTCCAATAAGGTGATTTGTTTGTCTTATATATATGCTTTTATCCTTAGGTTAAAAAAGTAATATTTATGCTTGTCATTAGAGCTCTTAATTATATGAATTAAAAATATGGCCTTAGTACTTCATGAGGTGAAAACTATTTTTAGATGAAATAAAAAAAATTGCAGTGAATGTTTATGTTTTTATGCTCTGAAACAAAAGGCAGTATTGAGCCTGGTGCATGTAAAATCTGCAAAAGCCTAAGAAAATGTACATATTTCTTCAGAGAATTTTATCTTCTGCTTGCTCTATAAGACAAGACATTATTCTTCCTTGTGCAACAAAAATTTTGCAGAAGCTACCCAGGAGATTCTTCTTGCTTTCCAACAAAAATTAGATGACATTTTGTCCTGATTTTGCCACAGCATTAGCTAGCACTGCTTTTTGAAGCAATGGCTCAGATCCAAGAAGCAAATAAAACTAGGAATAAATTGTTTAATTGTCTTAACTTTTTGAAATGAGAAGCTGACAAATTTTATAAAACTACTTTTTTTGGTAATGCACCTGCATCTTACCTTTGCCTTCCTGCTTTCCAGACATCAGTTTGAACTTTCTCCATAGGAATCACAGTTCATGTAAAAAGAATGAAGATATACATACCATGTATGCTCAATTTACTCCACGCTAGAAAAAGTAAAATGTACATTGATTTTTTTATTCAAATGCTTTGTTTAGATCAATGCCATAAACAATTTTCTGAATAAACCTTATGCAAACCTTATGCAATATTAGAATAAACATTATGCACTCGATGAAGAGAGAATATGGAATGAGACTTAACGTCACAGAAAGTTTCAGTTGTGCAGCACTTCTTTTGCTTGTACTTTCCCTTGAATTATTTGGTTTAGGTACATGGTCTCCAAATTTATGCAACTCATATGTAAAGACATAATTGGCAAGTGGGATGTGAGTATATAGAACTTAGCTTTGTATTCAGTTAAGTCATCATTATGGGAAACTTTTATTTATTCTGCGAGAGTGTAGGTCGGGTTTTTAATGACCAAGAGAGACTGACTTCAGACCTCCAGTTTATTACAACTCAGTGAAATATAGTATTCCAAATCCTGTTGGAGCAAGAAGGATTTTAGGCAACTAAAATTTAGCATCTTGCTTTGTCAAGAAAGTTCAGGAGAATGACCATCATGTAATATTTTCCTTCCTGAATGACTTAGGTGATGGCTTGTAGGGAACATAACCAGTGAGAAGAAGTGTGATTGATATTTTTGAGATTGGTAGAAATTGAGTCCATGAATGTGCGACTATCTCAAGAACAGTTATTTTCCCAAATATGTGAATTAGATGTTATGATGCATATGATGTTACAATGCTGTTGATTGCTCAGGTTTTTTGTTGTGTGCTGGTTGAAGATGGAAAAAAATTGGCTTCTTTACATTTAAAAAGGATCATGTTTAAAGGCTCTTCTTTCAAAATCAGTACAGTAGGTATAAAGGTAGGGGGTTTGCTGTTTTACTTTTCCTTTCATGCTTTCCACTCTAATGAATCGAAAAGCTGGGAAGAGTTAGTTGGTGGCATTTTATCTGGCTTCCAATCAGAGTAAACTCTCAGAACAGTACAGATCATCCAGTATCTGAGATACAGGTCTGCAAAGCTCATGAGATGTTCAACTGTGGTACTTCTAGAAAGTAGGATTAAAAAAAAGTCCTCACTGGTAGTTCAACCGGATCCTTATTAATAATATAATTCAAACTACTCTTTCTATTAAGCAGTTAGGCTTAAATTTGATGTTCCCAAAATAGTGTACTCCAGATTCTTTATGATGTTTGTTTAAAGACAAGTAATTAATTCAGTGCTGATTTCAAAGCTTTTTGAATGAAGAAATGCTATTGGAGTAAAGTTATCACATTTTAAACTACTTATTATTTTCTTTACTGTCTTGGACAAATTTGCATTTCAGAGAGACAGATACATAATGTTCCTTTAAAGGATGAATGAAGTTCTGTCATTCCTCGTACAGGGAAGATGAATAGTTTTTTTCTGTCTTCCACTTTCATTTTGAAGTTCTTTTATTTTTATTCTTTAGTGTACTTTCCTCTGCAAGTCTGAGTGGCAGCTTATATAACAGCAGTGTACTTTTAAAACTAATATTAAACTCAGAATCTAGCACCTCAGCAACAACTCAAGCCAAAATCAAGCTTTGCCTCAACCTACCTAACTGACTCCATTTGAACTCTGAGAAGTCAAATGGGAAGCTGGCATTTAGAACTCGAGAAATCATCTTCTAAATATCTACTGCCCATAATATTTTTCCTTTGTTAGCTCAATGTCTCCAAATAGTCCAAGATCCAGTATACAAATGAAGTTTTGTTTTTTAAAGCAGTTCTGTTCAGTTTCTGCATCTTTATATTTGTCCTGTTTCCTTGCTCCATTGCCCCACTCCCCACCACTCCCCACAATTATTTTGTAGTCATATATCCTTTTCTATGCACTGCACCTGGTTTCTTTCTTCATTTTAGTGATTAAAGTTAATAGACACATCTTTTTTACACCTTTCTCTTTCTTTCACCTTTTTCCTTTCTTTCTTTTTCCTTTTTTTTTTTTTTTTTTTGACTCCTTTCTGTTAATAAGTTTTTTCTTTAAAATATATTTTTATTGTGATTAATTTTTCTGCCTTCAATAGGAATTGCAGGACTCCCTTCCTCTTATGGACTTCTTGACTCCTGTAGACTGCTCAGTCATAGGTCTGAGGTTTCTCCCATAATGGTTGTTTTAGATGCCACTATTGGCCACCAGGGTTACTAAAATACACACAAATGCAACTAAGAATATAGAATAATAGAATCACTTTAAGATCATCAAGTCCAATCATTAACTTTACACTACCAAGCCCACCACTAAACCATCTCCGTAAGCACCTCGGGTGGTTTACAAGAAGACATCAGCTTGCCTTCCTTAAACTAGTTGTTCCACCTTCCCCCTACCTCTGCCCCTCCATCATGACTTATTGTGTGAAGTTTACAGGAGTTGTAAGCAGATCTGGTTTGTACCTGTGTTTTGCCCCTGTGCTGTACACTAAGTATTAGTTCTTTAGTTGACAACTTCTCGAATTAAAATTCAGAGGTGTCTTAAAACCCAGCAATATTATTTCACTGTGACTACAGCAGACGAGGTAAGGAATAATCTGAAAGTCAAAAAACCTTTCCCTTGCAATGACTTGGTCTGGTGTTAAAAGTGTGGTATAAATGCGTGTTTTTATGTAAATACATGTATGTGTCCTTTGTTTTAAGTTGCCAGGAACGTATGCAATCTCCCATATTTAAGAAAACAAAATTCCAGGAGAGGTCTGAATGACTTAGGAAATTCAAGAGGAAAGTAGCACCCATGCAATAGACTTAATTGTAGACTACTAAAAACCCCAATGATATTTCTTCTTTTCTAACCTATAACTTCTAAACATCCTTCAGATAATTGCTTACTGTTCTGAAATGAGGCTTTCTTCAACTGATACTCTATTTTTGTCTGTGAATTAGCAGATCCTTTTGGGGATTTTTGGCACCTTACATGAAACCTTAATAAATGTTTCAAAGAAAAGGCATTTTGCAGCACGCTTTTGGGAATGTGGGATTGTACAAAGCTAGCAAGTTCAGCATCTGTATGTGTGATTACCTGCTTCCAGGATAGAAACAAACAACAAAATGCAATGCCCTTGCGTTACAATGAATTAGTCATTGCTACTGACAGTGAAATTTACTTCTCTTGAAGCTGATAGTGTAAGTCCCATTCATTGAAAGCAAATAAAGATTTGGCTCGGAATTGTTTAGATTTCTGTGGAATATGGGTAAGCTTTCAGTCTCAAACAGTGAGAACTTATCAAAACAAGGTAAAAAAGCCCAAAAACCAGACAAAAACTACTACTGAAGTTTACATTTGCTGACTAATAGTAAAACTCTCACATGTGTTTTTTTCAAATGTCATTAGAACAAGTAATGGTGGCTGTCAACAGTGATGTACATAATAACTCAACTGCATCAGATAACAACAGACTAGGTAAGGCAATGCTGTTTTAGGAAGTATTTGTGCTGTAAAGTCAGCTAGTTGAATTACACACAGGACCCTACATAGCTTTAAAAAAAAATTCTTATCCTTAGCCAGTCAGGTAAGTTCTGGGGGAATAGGTTTTTCCTTCATCTCAGAGCAGAACACATCCTGGGGAATTTTACGTATTTCAATGTGTCATCATATTTAATTGTTGATTTTTAAGTTCCTCTTGATATTTAAATACAATTGATTTCAAGATAATTGACTAATATTTCTCCCAGCTCCACTTATTTCTGCCATTACAGAGGCAGTTAATGCTGCTAAGGGCAGCACCTTGTTCAGGGCAGGCAGAAAGGATGATGTGCACAGAGCTAAGGTGTGAAATGAAAGTTAGAGATGATCCTCATACGTGCTTAGAGTAAGTCTGTGGCATAGTGGGGTACCCTACAAGTAATTGGTGTACCAAACTAAAGACAGAGAACTTGATTGTGCACATTGGGCTGTTCACCATCAGCCTTGGCACAAGGCAGAGCACCTGGCTGAGGTTTTTCTAAGCCATGCATAGCACAGTCCCTTGTTGGAGAATTCTAGACTTACTGCATTACAGCTCAATCTGAGTATACTGACAGGTTAAAGACAAAGAAATAGCACACATTATACATTTTTATTTAACAAAATCTTTAGCCACAAGATAGAGGTAATGTCATCATTTTCATAAATTCATGTTCAGTTTTTATGTAATTTATTTATGCTTTAAATGCTTTTTATGTGTATGTGCTTGATTGTCAAGTATTCATTTGTATTTGGTCTTTTGTATTGATTTTTCTTTAACTTTTTTTCTTTTTTTAAGCATGATTTCTCACACTTTATTTTGTTTTTTTTAGGTTTTGTTTTATTTCATAAGATCCCACTGGATGGGTAAATGAAATAAGGAAAAGATGAGAGAGGGGCTGTTGAGCTTGTGGAAACTGTGTGCTGCACTGTAGGGAGTGGACAGTGTTCTTGCCCAATGAAGTGCCACCTCCCATGGATTTCTCTTTTAAACATTGGTTATGTTTGGAGAACTATACATTCAAATCAGTAGCTGTTTTTCCAAGAGCAGGGAAAGGTGAAGCCCTGAGGCAGCTAAAAAACTCAAGAAATTCCAGAAATAAGCTACCACACTCTTTCCTATTGCCTTGTCCTCACTGTGTCTTCCAAAATGACATTGAAATGAAATTATATTGTTTCCTCTGTCAATTTTTTTTCTGTTCGAATAACTGGAAAGATGTTGTTTTTATAAATAATATTTATCAAAGGTGAACTGCAAAGCTGCTTTTGTTTTATTGAATTAACATCTCTGCAAAAATTTCTACAATGCTTAGTTTGAGTGTGTGTGCAAGCTCACTGATTTCTGTGGAAATGCTCACATCCTTAAAGTTAAGTTCTTGTATATTTGCAGGATATGGTCTTAACTCCTGAAGCAGTAAATTGCAGAGCTGGCCCTGCAAATCTTATGTATGTAGTTCCACTGACTTTACCAGGAAGATGGGGAGTCTAAGTTGTATACAGAAAGGTGGCAGTACTGTTTGCTGTGTTTGGGTATTGAACCGGTGCCATCAGTTAGACATTCCATCAGGTTGTGCTTACTCAAGATAGCCCCTAAGCTTGAATAAGCACACAAATCTATAGTAGGCCAGATGCTGATTCTGAGCCAAGAGCAAGAAGAACAATGTGGCTGGTCCTTCAGATGTAGACTTAGAGGCTTGTTTAACTGTCCATATTTAACTGTGATGTATGCTTCAGAATGTGCTTCACAATACTGCAGAGAAGAGTCTACTGTAGCAAGTAAAGCCAAATGAAGGCATGAGCATATTTCAAGAGCAGGGCTGCATTTAGATATAGTACTAGAAATTAATTTTCATTTGATTTATGTATCAAATCCTGAGGGTCTACTTTGATCTGGTTTTCCATTTAGGGAATTTTAAGTATGAAGTTTCAGGGTTTTTTTTTAACTGAGAGTTAGCTACAAAGACTAGTAGTGAAAGACTGAGGTAGATGCTTATGTTCCTGTGTATTCTTGTTGAATTTTTGAGATATGATTTGAATTTAATTCCTTACAACTATGTTTAGTGAAATAGATGGTATTATTTTGTCCCTAATGTATTTGCTTTTCATTGTTGCCTGTTTTTAATTTTACCCATTTTCACTCTTCCATTGTAACACTATTGCCTTTTCTTTTACTGCAGTCTTTTAAGGCCATACACCCTCCCTCTCTTGCTACAGTACTGTCTTGGCTCTTTAATTCTGTTTCTGTGTATTTACTTGCTTTTTGCCTTCTAAGACTCTTAATCCTTAAACTTTTTTCTTGTGTTCTCTTGAATCTCTTGCATTCAAGTTCTTTATTCCTGCTGTGCTCAAGTTTCAGAAATATCCTTATTAGTCAAGACATGTGTCCACATTTGCATACTTCTAGGCCTATATAGGGAGATGCTTCCTTTCCCTTTCCACTAGTTAGGGAAGGGGAGATGCAGTCGCTAAAAATCTGTCCCAAAGATGTATTCTGCTCCCCACATTAAAGAAGAGGACAGAGCTGAAAGTTTACTGATGACCTAGGAATCGTGTTGTCTTTGTCGCCCTGCACATACTGTGGTGATTTGGGGAGGGATGGCAGCAATTAAGGATATCCATCATAGTTCCTGTTTGAAGTTAGATGTCATCAAGTGCTCTGCTGTTCCTGAGAAAGAGTATTATGAATGTCTGCCTTTTTTCCTCCCTAAGTCTGTGTCTTATAAGACATGGTTTTATTTTCCAGAACTCATAACTTTCTCTTCTGCTTACTGACTTATTTTACCTTCCTTTTAATTATTTTCTTCTTGGGCTTCTTGTTTATCCATGAATTTGTCCTCCTATTGAAATAGTATCTGATATCACAGAGGTGATTCTAAATCAGTAGACAATCATCTAGTGGCAATATTTGAGCTAAAGTCAGTGGACTTACATCAAACAAATATTGGATCTTGAGCAGAGCTTGACCCAGTAGCCCAAATTCCAGTTTGATGTTTTGCTGGGACAAAGTCAGCATGTTTCAGTTATGTGTTCACAATTTATTGCCAAATTAATGAAGTGAGAATCTGAACCCTTTTCTTTTGGCAGGGAAAAAGCAAACTTGCAAAGCTGGAATTTGGCAGTTGACTTTTGAAATATTTAATTTAAAAAAGTAGTTCTTTCTGGTTCATAATATTTATATGCATAAATATGCACAGTTATTGATTGGGGATTTTACATAATTTTTTTGTAATTTATTTTATAGCACTTTGCAGTTCATCTTTATCGGATAGACGTAGGTTTGACCTTCAAATGTTTCAGACTGTACTGACACAGTATTTTGGATTTTATGTAATCATGGAGGTACTTTAATAAACAACTGATCTATGCACCACTGAAATATATATATATATTTTTATATCTGTATTGTAGAATATCCTTCTTACATATTTTGTACTACATTATGTTATACACTCAGTACATTATTACTTGATGCAGATATTCACAGAACGTTATGGATTACAGCACGTGATTTGTTACTAATAATGTCTTAGCGCAGACGTTTAATGCTTGATGGAAAAAGACTACATGTTCCTACAATGTTTTTTTCAGTATGTGGACAGAGCCTCTTAAAGCTAAGGGAGCTAAACTTTTAACATGGAAGTTATGACACCCACTAGCTTCTGTCTTTCAGCTTGATTGTAAGTGACTTTGCTTGTAACTGTAGAGATTCTGATCTGCCCAAATGGTGTTGGTTTACAAAGGGCTCACTGAATTACAAATCCTAGACCTCCTTAAAATAAAGTGAGACTGAAACTAAAAATCTTACAGGAACCATTAACATGGTAAAAATTTATGAACATCCAGGATTTGACATTAAAAAGTTTTTATATTGTTTTACTGAGCAATAAAAAAAGGCTATGAAATGTCTAAAGGCAGAGTTGCTATTTTTTTTCTCTGTGCCAGACATGAAACTAAAATAAAAGCATATTTCTAAGGTTCTGCTAGAAGGGGTTTATTTGTACTAGAATTTATTTTAGATGGACATTTAATATGCTCAGAGACACGTTGAGATAAGCTGTTGAGCAGTGTGATGGACAGATTAGTTTGGGGCCTGGAGAGGAAGCACTGCTGGGGGTGTTGTGGTGTGAGGCAAGTCATGTCATCCAGTCTGTTAAATAAACTTGTTCTGTTGAATGTGATGGAAGTTTGACCAGTGGCCAGGACTATGTTGCAAAGAAGTGCACTGTTCCCAGGCAGAGGTCAGAGCTGTGCTTGCTACAGCTGCCCATCATGAAAAGTGAGGTGGGAGCAGTTGCAAAATGTCTGTTCCTGAAGAAAGCTGTCTAGGGACCATCTCTTTTTTAGTGGGAGTCCTGGAAGCTCACAGCCAGGGCAGAGGCTACTATGAAACATTTTCATGGTAATATGTGTCTTGGCTGCTGTAACCTGTGAAAGGCAGTCTTCATCCTTTCCACTGCCTTTGTCTACCAGCTGGACCTCTCCCAGGCAGCAGTGAAGCAAAACATGCATTTTAGAGGGAGCAAGATCAAGATCCTTGGAAACAGCAGACAGTGCCAAGAAAACCTGTGGACAGCTAGTTGAAAACAATTTTACTTCAAATAGTTCTAATGGGGATTGTTTTTCTTTTTTGACTGTTGGAAGAAGGACTAAAAATAATTTTTTTTCCTAAGAAAGCAAATTTCTAAGCCTGGTTTTTCAAAAACTATAAAACATATGGAATTCTGCCATATGAAAATGACCCATACACTTCCAAGTGGCTCTTTAAACAGAAGCCTTCATGCAAAGTTTGTCAATCCCTTTACCCAGTTGTCTGTGTTAAATTGACACCTAATCATCACTATGAAGGCCATAACTTTGTTTTCATCTATTTTAATGCTTAAAACTTGCAAATGGTTTGTGAAGTTGAAAGGTATTATCCAACAGATAATAAAATCACCTTTTCTAAGCTCTTTTTTATTCAGCCATTTTTTCCAGTTAATAATAATAATTATTGTTAACAATAATAATATTTTATCATTTGAAATAATTCAAAATTATAACAATATATATTATATATTGCATATATCATAATATAATATATATTATATTATAATATATAATATACAATATATATAACATACATTATATATTATATTATATTATATTAATTATATTAGTAGGCTGAGCAGCTAAGTATTTTGTTCATGTTTATTTCAAAAGAAAACCCCAAAAGGTTATGTAAAGGTTTTTAGTATTTTCTTCTTCTCCATCATTCTCCCTGGCTTCTCTTTCTTCCAATTTTTGGTGGGTCTGTTTTCTGTTCTTCAGAGCTCAATGTCCTACTTTGTGAGTTGAGGTTAGCTCTCTCCTTCTTAGGGCACAAATGTGTAGCATCTTGTAATATCCTTTTGAAGGACTTTGCCATCGTTATGTGATGGCGTAAAGTACTCTAGATCATAATGTAGGTCCATGTTGTGTGAGATTTTCATCATCTGATCTCCAGAACATGAGTTTGTGGGTGGTTGGAAGCATTCAGCATGAATGCAACGTCATAGGGTGCACAGAGAATGCTGGTGCTGTGTATTTCACGTGTCACAGCCCATTTCATTGTCCCACTTCCACAGGAATGTGTATGCCCAAACTTTTGAAGCTGACTTCCATTTGCTCTGTTTTTCTTTTGTTCGTACAAATTAAATCTGCTCTGAAGATAGCAAATGATGCATTGATTGGAAATAAATATAGCTGTTCACTTCCACAAGCATGTGTGTGACTGATCTTGGAGAACATGGTATTGTCTTTTAATCAGCCTCGAGATTAACCGGTTGACTTACTTTCATCCAAAAAAAAGCAACAGATTGGAAGAGCCCACATGAGAGTGTGTATTGTTTTAGCATGGACATGCTATATCCTTTTAATTTTAATAGCAACCTTCCATGACTGGCTATATTTTTGCAGCTGCAAGGAGTGTGTTGGATAAGCACGTGTCCTGGCCTGCAGCAGAGTTGTAGGCAGCATAGAGCCAAGCTGCTTTCATTTTAGAGAGGGCCATTCCCCCATGGTCTCTAGAGGCAACAAGTCACAGCAGGGTTACTAAGCAGATTGCCTCTTAATATAGGAGGAAACTTGTCTCCTTGCATGTGTATTTTTACTGTTACTTTGTTCCTCAGCTGGAATGACAAGAACAACAATAAAATTTCAGGGAACTATCTGATATACAAGGAAGTAAAGGCTAAAGTCATGGCTTTCTTATGATAGCTTTGTTTTTTCTTTGATGTAAACAGAGTAGGGCTTCCTTGTCAGGTATGTCCACTAAACAGAAAAGAAAGCCTGTTTTTTTCCTTAAGTATTTTAGTATTTTTTAGAGGGTTTTTTTTTTTGGTTTGTTTGTTTGTTTTGTTTTTTGTTTTTTTTTTTTTTAACACAGCTGTTTCACTGACTTCACTAGTGTGTGAGCATAATTGGGCTGCCACACCACTGCACAAACCCAAGACCAGAGTCTTAAACAAATACACTTCAAATCTTTCACAGCCATTCAGAGCGCTCTGTTCCTGAGTACTTTTTTATATTTCAGGCTCAATTTAAAAATAGGAAGAGTCATTAAGTTGATTTAAAATTACAGGACTTTATATTTTCCTAAAAATTTTTTTCTTAAAATATTTTTTTTCACACATGGAAAAAAGTAATATTCTAAATTTTAGAGCAAAATTGCCTTCTGCCATAGCATCACATCATGAAGCCGAATAGCAGGACAGAGACAGTGGGCACAAACTGATGCACAGGAAGTTCCACCTGAACGTGAGGAAGAACTTCTTTGCTGTGCAGCTGACCAAGCACTGGCACAGATCACCCAGAGAAGTTGTGGAGTCTCCCTCAGTGGAGATATTCAAGAGCCATCTGGACACAATCCTGTGCCATGTGCTCTGGGATGACCTGGCTTGAGCAGGGAGTTTGGACAAGAGGACCCATTGTAGTCCCTTTCAACCTGATCCATTCTGTGATCCCATGGTTTTAAAAATTACTTGCTGTTATCCATCAGCAAGCTGTGTCTTTTCTCCCCCTCTTCCCTCTAATTCTTTGTGTTGAAAATCTTTCATGTTTCTTGTAAGTAACAGACAATCATTGTTTTTATTCCCAGATGCTACCATAACACTTTGCACAATCTATAAAAAATGTATTACATGAAATTATTTTTAACAGGCCAATAAAGTTCTATAATTTCATATCATTGTGCCTTTCACTACCTGTAAATTGATCACATTTTGTATTTCATTAGTAATATTACACTGCATTGAAAAATATGTCAATTTTTGAGTTCCTCACCTGTTACCTGTTGTTATAAAAATGCTATTGTTGTTGTTGTGTTCCGATTAGAAGTGAGATTCAACTGCATAATTATATTTTTATAGCATCACTAATGGTCATTCTATTTATAAGCACCCCCCCCCCCCCCCCCCCCCCCCCAACTGTTTGCAGTAGTTTTATTTCTATTTAACATACTTTAATTTAAATGTATGTATCATTAACATGTACATTCAAACAAAGGTATGTATATTCAGGTCAAAGCACTACATGTTCAGCTGTTGCCTGTAAGACACAAAGTTTTACATATCAGGCCATACTTCATCTACTCAACTTTACACAAAAAAAAAAGTTGTTTGGTTAAATACTCAAGTACGATGTGGTGATTTTCCAAATTATTTTGAGGAAACAGTGCTGTGATTTGAAGGCCATGTTTTGCTTTGGAACTTCTCTTTGTTGGCATGAACTATCTGGATTTCTTGGCAAATTTAATGAAATAGAATACAAAAGAATGTTGAAGTGGTTGTGTCACAGATTATGTCCAGGTTTTTTATCTTTTTTGCTTTTCACTTGAGCATTTTATATTTTCCCATTAATGTGATTGCTGTATTTGGACTACAGCAGATTACATGTTCATTTTCTGAAATGTTTTGTCATGTTTTTCTCCTCTGGGTTCTTAACAGATCTCTGAGTATTGTACCAAATCTGCTTTCTTTACCCACAGGCAATTCTGAAAATTTTCACCTATTTGAACAATTGTGATGTCATGCAGTGTATTTTACACATAAGCTTTTTTAACACCATCCATGTAAAATATGCTTTTGGAACTAATTTGGTGTATCCTCAGTATCTAGGAGAAATAGCCTCAATATAAAGGTCCGCTCTTTTTCTAGGAGGAGCTTTCAATAAGACAACTATTAGAAAGAAATTCTGATGTTGATTAAGCTGGTAGATACAATTATTGTGCAGAAAGTATTCAAACAGTATAAATTGTTAGATTCTCCAAAATGCCAAGTAGAAGAACGTGCTGAGATTGTGACATGTTTGATATTTTTTTGTGTAGTAACAAGCTTGCCATTGAAATACTGTTATAGAAGCTTTTCAGACTCAGTAGACCAAGAAGCTATTATCTAGGGAGAAGAATCAAAAATGAAGCTGAATAAAGGCAAAAGTGAAAAATAGCCATTTACACTGCCTGGGAAATTGGGAAGTCTGTAAAGAAATTAGGATCACTGTAAGAAATAAAAAAGTCTTACTATTCTTGGTAGTCCAAATTAGTGTAAAACTGCAAACAAGGGTTTATTTTAAATGAACATGAATTGCAACTTAAAATATTGTTGTAGAAGTCTTGATTTTATTATTTTAAACGAGAAAAAAGATAAAACATTGGATATTTGTATCTTGAGATACTGTAACTTCCATCTACTTTGATCATTAAATTACTTCAAGAATAAAAAATTAATTTCATAGGTTAGTTTATAATTCTGATACTATTTTAAAACTAACATGAATTCAAAGACCACTTTTGTGTAATTGATGTTTCTTCCTTTATTATGTTAGTGACCAGGCTTTAAAGCAAAAATACAGAGCACATAATAAGCAGTTGTTGGTGTATTGCAGTTTCATGAGAAGGTTGCAAAAAGTCACAAAATAGTGTTTGATGATATATATATTGTCTTTCAATTAGAAACTTTCAGCAATGTGTTTTTACCTATTAAAAGCAAATACATTCTACAGTTTTCTAAAATAACTGTGAGTAAAGAGAATAGAAAGGTGCATTTGACAGACAAGTGAAAAATTATTTGAAGCTCTTGCTTTGGTAATTTAAAAATTTAATTTAAAGACTATCTCTTTGTTTTATTTATGCTTTTCTACTGTAGTTTTCAAATTCATATTTTATTCACACTATGCCATTTTTTGACGCCATTATTGTGTCTTTTGTTGTTGCAGTAAACTTCAGATCTATTTCCTTAATACACTGTGACTGTAATCAGTAAAATCCCAAATAGTGTCTCATGATAAGTTAGAATATGAATGTGACAGTGCCTTTTATATCTGCCACTTAAAAGTGCTGTGCTATTTACATGTTCAGAATGAGGAAAGTATTTTAACTGGCTATTCTAGCCACAACATCTTCCCAAGATAGCTGATGTGCAGAACAAAAATATGCAAGTGTGTGTTGGGAACCACTCATCAGTGATAGTGTGGCCTCAGGGAGGGATGCACCACCACCACCACTGATTGCAGTTCCTTAATAACTTCTTATAGCTCATGTTGCATAATAGAAGTCAGAGAGCAGAAGGTGATGAAAGTCCAGATGAGCAATTGGCTGTGAAGTTTCTCGATGACTATTGTGTTCTATGGAAGAGTCACCATGTTTTCCCCTTGAAGGGTTTTAGCAAAATTTCAGTGTCTACAGCATTGAAGTATATGATGCCTCAGGAATAGATGTGTCATCCCTGCCTCAGGGAACAAGATCCAAGAACACAGTTAGGTTTATATAAACCTTTGTCTGAGGGCTGGGTAAGGTTTCTTTCATTTTTTTTCTCAACCTGTGCTGAGTATTTATGATGTCTTTACTCCAGGAGACATACCAGCATAGACCCCGCTGGCTAAACCAGAATCTCTC